TTTCTTAGACGTGTCGCTGGCCTTACGCGTCTCGACATGGTCCGGAACAGTGACATCCGGAAGAGCCTTGAATTAAATCCTTTGCTTCTCCAGATTGAGAAGTCACAGCTGCAATGGCTTGGGCACGTGTTGCGAATGCCTCCAGAAAGGAAGGCTACGCAACTGTTCCTTGGAAATCCGACCGGCAAAAGGCCCAGGGAACGGCCAAGATTAACCTGGTGGAAACATGTGGAAGGAATCTGTTCCACAGTGCATCTGTCTTTTGCCGAAGCTCAGACTCTGGCACAGGATCTGGAACGTTGGAAGCACTGTCTGACGCGTCTGCCTCCGCGACCCGAAAGGAGAAGCGGCGATGGAAGATGAAGGTGAAGATGTTTACATAATGAGTCTATTTCCCATAATTTTCAAGTATTGAAGGCAACCAAAGATTGACAGAACATTTTAACGCAGACAGAATTTTACTGAATTTTTATGGTATCTTTTTCTTTCTTTCTTTTGCTTTCTATTACCTGGCATCTTGCCTATTAACTTCACTTAGCTTGCGCTCTCGTCGATACCCAGGCGGTTGCTCGTAGAGCGTTTTCTTGCATCGAAACTTGCATAGTTGCAGTAATTTTCTCCGCATTGACTTACCTCGTTTTACTTGCTGCGCGATTTTAGTTACGCCAGAAAGCAACCGATCTGACCAGTTGAAAATTATCAAAGAAATCGAAAGCGAAGTATTCCACCCACAGGAGTTTTATTCGACCAGAAGCGAACGACCTGACGAGGTACAGTTTAGAAAACGCCTTCGAGTTTTGTGTAAGCTCAGCACAGGTTTTAAAGTGATAAGTCTGTCTTCCGAACGGAGGTTTCTAAGTTATTCACTTAACAAAACTGACAACAGAAAATTGGAAGCCTCTGAATTGAAGATTTTGATATCCATATTAGGTGGCACTATCTTGTGTCAAATGCTCTCATAAGAGATTGGCGTCGAAAGTTTCTACTCTGCACTTAGCCTATTTTTCAGCTATTCTGCTCATATCCCACTGTATGACGTGGTTATTATATACGCTGAGTTCTGGTATGAAATAACTCATTTTGATTTATGTTGATGCACTCCGCATGTTCTCTCATATTGCTTTTGCGTTTTCTCCCAGTTCCATAATGTAGCTGCTTTCATAACTGTATTTAATGCAGGTTTCTTCCTGCTTTTTTAGGTGGTCTAGTTTATTTAGAGAGTTACATACCGTCTTTGCTTGTGTCTGGTCACGAATCGTTTGACTGTTTTATTTAGATTGTTTAGATATTGACCTGTCAAAGAGAGTTGGCTTCTGAGGTTTCTTCTGAGGTCATCTGGTCCCACAGCTTCCAGTAGATTGTCGACCTGTTCTTGAATT